ACCCTGGGAAAGAGTTTTAGCAGTTTGTTGTTGTTGTTGTTGTTGTTTTAAAAACCTGCACAGCTTGTTTGATCAGAGGTGATAATAGGAGAAAACAAAAGGTGTGTGTGTGCACCATCTGAAGTGATGGTTCACATAAAATATGGTTATAGGCTACATCCACACCGCAGAAATAATCTGGTTTGACATCGCTTTAACTGGCCTGGCTCAATTCTATGGAATTCTGGGAATTGTAGTTTGTGGTGGCCCCAGAGCAGAGCAATAACAATAGCAATTAATGAATTGTGACAGCCTAAACCACCACCACCCCCCGAAAAAAAACTTTAGGTGGTTTTTTGTTATTGTCTGCACTGTTTGTCACAGACCTTTAAGCAACAGGCTTACCCAGCCCTGGAGATGCCAAGGATTGAAGATGAGACTTTCTGCAGACAAAGTAAATGCTCTGCCACTAAGATTTGTCCCTGCTAGCAACAATCCTCTTCCTTACTTTTTCTAGAGTCTCTTGTGTGGAAGAAAGATGGCCCCTCTAATGGCCCACCTGAATACCGCCACCTCCCCACCCTAAAGATTTCATTTCAGGTGGACAGGCTTTATGATGTTATAAACCCACTGGGGCCTTTTTTTTTTTTTTTTTTTTTTTGGTTTAAAATGGATGGCCACTTTGTTTTGAAAAAATGCTGCAAAAAACTTAAAGAGAGCTAAAACCTGATGGAATTGCCCTCCTTGGCCCCTGAAAGGCTTGCGGAAATGGAGGATCATTCAAAGGCATACACTCCAACATTTCAGAAATAAGGGGTTATTCAGATGGTGAAAATAATCCTGGTCGAATGTGGGTTGAATCTTTGCTGTTTGCATGCATTTCAAATACACCTGAGTAAGTTTTTTGGGGCAAAAAACCCAACTTAACCCAGAATAATTGATTTCTGGTGTTGTTATCATTTCCCCATTTTCCTAAAAGATTTGCATTGTCAGCTGTTTGAATAACCAATACAAGTAAACCTGGGACAAACGGGTCATAAAACTCTGCATGCCTTGAATGTGTTTTAGGATACATGGGAAATTTGGGAAATATGGCCAATATGGCCAAGAAAATTATAGCATATGGTCACTGTTAAATCACATTTCACTTGAAAAGCACATAACAACAATAGGTACTATGTAGTCTCCTCCTTGCTGGAAATACATGATGATGATGGTAGTTTTTGATGTTGTTGTTGTTGTTGTTGTTGTGTGCCTCTGAGTTGTTTCTGATTTCTGAATGTGACTTGCCCAAAGTCACCAAATAGATTTCAATGGTCAAATGAGGATGGGAACCTTGGTCTTCTGGACAACATCTACAATGAAAATGTGATGCAGTTTGACATGTCTTTAACTGCCATGGCACAATGTTATGGAATTCTGAGATCTGTAGTTTTTTTAAAAAATCTTTAGCCATTGCTGTCAGAGAGCTCTGGTGCCACAACAAACTACAAATCTCAGAATTCTATAGGATGGAACCATGACAATTAAAGTGGTGTCAAATTGCATTAATCCTACAGTGTGGCAGCAGACCTTGAGTTCTAGTCCAGCACTCAAACCACCACATCACAATGGCTCTCACAAATACCTGTCTCTGCCAAACGTGGCTGGTGGACATGGGGGAGAATATTATTTTGTTTGTTTTTTGAAAACTAATATTTAAATTCACAAAGTTCATATTTAAGAGGGGCAAAGAACAACAACAATCTAGTCTTTGAACTTTTAGAAAGAATCAAATGCACATGAAAGTGCACTGAAACAGGGAGATTTTCCGATCCATATCTATAACAATACCTCTTTAACCTTGCATGTTGGAAGGTTTGTTCTTCTGAGTGCTGCATGAGCAAGACTCTCTTACACATCTTTAGTGCTGGCAAAAAGAGTTGAAATATTGGCTTAAAATTCCTTAACAGATTCCACTCTATCATCCTTTTTAATTAAATGTAAAAGAAAAAAAAAAACCTCAAAGCCTCCGCACCAACTATTATGCTAATGCAACATTAATGTTAAGACTTTTCATTGGATACATGTCAAGAAATTCAAGAGCTATTGTTCCCACAGCAACCATATTTTATCAATCTGCCGCCAGCATGTCGTAGGCTAGGTTTGGCTGTGAAGCTGGCGGTTGTCAACTTTCCATACATCCATGTTCCTTTTCCTTAAGGTCAAGAAGTTGCCACCTGAAAGAAAGCAGTATTCATTCTCAAGACTGCCACCTCTCATGGCAAGCAGGAAGGAACTCCTTCTCTCTCCTATATGCCAGTTTGATAAAGGGCCTCTCCATGTAGGATATAATTTTGTTCACTCTGTATATAGCCTCCAAAGAAGGAAAATTGTGGAGATAATTTT